AATAGAAAATGGGGACAGATGTGACTGCAACAGAAAAGCAGTAGTCATAGGCATATTTGCTGAAAACAGATGCTAAAGGGTGAGGTTTACCTACATTTCATGTCTGTGCTGCTTGACACGGAGCAGTAGAGCCATTAGACCAACAGTTAGAAGGGGTGGGAATCATCCTCCCTTCCCCTTACCTACATTCCATGAGAGTGAGTGACCTCACATTTGAAAATATAAAATAAGAGCCTCAGAAGAAGAATATGACTTAGATCTGATCAATATTTTCACATAATTACAATTCCATATTAATACATTATTTTTTCAACTTTGTTTTCAAATAAAAGTACTGCTATTTAAATTAATATTCCATATTAGTGCATGTAATGTTACTTTAATATTCATTATATTAGTCTATGTAATGTTAGATTTTATTAGACTGATTATATTCTTTGTAGCTGAAGATAGAGAAGCTCTATACAGTCACCAAATCAAGACCAGAAGTTGACTGTGGCTCAGATCATGAACTCCTTATTGCAAAATTTAGACTTAAATTGAAGAAGTAGGGAAAACCACTAGGCCATTCAGGTATGATCTAAATCAAAATCCCTTATGATTATACAGTGAAAGTGACAAATAGATACAAGGGATTAGATCTGATAGACAGAGTGCCTGAAGAACTATGGACAGAGGTTCACAACATGAGGTGGTGATCAAAACCATCCCCAAGAATAGTCTTTTGGACTCTGTGGGAGAGGACGAGGGTGGAATGATATGGGAGAATGGCATTGAAGCATGTAAAAATTAGCATATGTGAAATGAATCGCCAGTCCAGGTTTGATGCATGAGACAAGTGCTCGGGGCTGGTGCACTGGGATGACCCAGAGGGATGGGATGGGGAGGGAGGTGGGAGGGGGGCTCAGGATGGGGAACACATGTACACCCATGGCGGATTCAGGTCAATGTATGGCAAAATCAATACAATATTGTAAAGTAAAATAAATAAATAAATAAAACTGGAAAAGAAAAAAACATCCCCAAGAAAAAGAAGTGAGAAAAAGGTGAAATGGTTGTCTTAGTAGGCCTTACAAATAGCTGAGAAAAGAAGAGAAGGGAAAGGCAAAGGAGAAAAGGGAAGATATGCCCGTCTGAATGCAGAGTTCCAAAGAATAGCAAGGAGCGATAAGAAAACCTTCTGCAGTGATCGGTGCAAAGAAATAGAGGAAGACAATAGAATGGGAAAGACTAGAGATCTCTTCAAGGAAATTAGAGATACCAAGGGAACATTTCATGCAAAGATGGGCACAATAAAGGACAAAAATGATATGGACCTAACAGAAACAGAAGATATTAAGAAGAGGTGGCAAGAATACACAGAAGAACTATACAAAAGAGATCTTAATGACCCCGATAATCATGATGGTGTGATCACTCACCTAGAGCCAGACATCCTGGAATGTGAAGTGAAGTGGGCCTTAGGAAGCATCACTACAAACAAAGCTAGTAGAGGTGATGGAATTCCAGCTGAGCTATTTCAAATCCTAAAAGGTAATGCTGTGAAAGTGCTGCACTCAATATGACAGCAAATTTGGAAAACTAAGCAGTGGCCACAGGAATAGAAAAGGTCAGTTTTCATTCCAATCCTAAACAAAGGCAACGCCAAAGAATGTTCAAACTACCGTACAATCGCACTCATCTCACATGCTAGGAAAGTCATGCTTAAAATTCTCCAAGCTAGGTTTCAAGAGTACATGAATGAAGAATTCTATACATTCAAGCTGGATTTAGAAAAGGCAGAGGAACCAGAGATCAAATTGCCAACATCTTTTGGATCATAGAAAAAGCAAGGGAATTCCAGACAAACATCTACTTCAGCTTCACTGATGATGCTAAAGCCTTTGACTGTGTGGATCACAACAAACTGGAAAATTCTTAAGGAGATGGGAATGCCAGAGCACCTTACCTGCCTCCTGAGAAACCTGTATGCAGGTCAAGAAGTGACAGTTAGAACTGGGTAAGGAACAATGGACTGGTTCAAAATTGGGGAAGGAGTACATCAAGGCTATATATTGTCACCCTGCTTATTTAACTTATATGTAGAGTTCATCATGCAAAATGCCCAGCTGGGTGAAGCACAAGCTGGAATCAGGTTTGCCAGGAGAACTATCAATAACCTTAGATATGCAGATGACACCACCCTTATGGCAGAAAGTGAAAAGGAGCTAAAGAGCCTATTAATGAAAGTGAAAGAGGAGAGTGTAAAAGCTGGCTTAAAATTCGACATTCAGAAATCTAAGATCATGGAATCTGGTCCTATCACTTCATGGCAAATAGATGGGGAAACAATGGAAACACTGACAGACTTTATTTTCTTGGGCTCCAAAATCGTGACTGCTGCTATGAAATTAAAAGATACTTGCTCCTTGGAAGAAAAGCTATGGCAACCCTAGATAGCATATTTAAAAGCAGAAACATCATTTTTCCAATAAAGGTCCGTTTAGTCAAAGCTGTGGTTTTTCCAGTAGTCATGTATGGATGTGAGAGTTGGACCATATAGAAGGCTGGACACTGAAGTATTAATTGACGCTTTTGAACTGTGATGACTCTGGAGTCAGACTCTTGAAGACTCTGGAGAGTCCCTTGGACTGCAAAGAGATCAAACCAATCAGTCCTGAAAGAATTCAATCCTGAATATTCATTGAAAGGACTGATGCTGAAGCTGAAGCTGAGCTTCCATGCTCTGGCCACCCGATGCAAAGAGCAGACTCCTTAGAAAAGACCCTGATGCTGGGAAAGACTGAAGGCAGGAGGAGAAGGGGACGACAGGATGAGATGGTTGGAAGGCATCACTGACTCAATGGACATGAGTTTGAGCATGCTCTGGGAGATGGTGAAGTACAGGAAAGCCTGGCATTCTGCAGTCCACAGGATCGCAAAGGGTGGGAAGCCAATGAGTGACCAAACAACAACATTAGTGTATGTGGAACTTGCCTCGTGGCTGAGCCATACAGAATCCGCCTGCCAATGCAGGAGTCGTGGGTTTGATCCCTGGGTTGGGAAGATCCCCTGGAGAGGGAAATGGTAACCCACTCCAGTATTCTTGCCTGGGAAATCCTATGGACAGAGGAGCCTGGCAGTCTACAATCCATGGATGGCAAAAGAGTCAGACATGAGTTAGCGACTAAAACAGCAAAATAACAATTAGTATATGATCTATACAATAGGAATATGAGCTGTAGCTATTTGAACATAATGTGGACTCGATACTTAATGAAGAATAAATTTCAGACAAACTATCACTTCTCTTCAACTGTAGTGAATAGTATGGTCCTGGCATTTTCTAAATGAGTCAAAGATGAAGCAGAGTCATAGAAACACCAAGGAGCTGAAAGGAAGGAACTGAATGTCAGATAACCTTTTCATTCAAAAGAATGAAGCTGGAGAAGGAAAGAAATATGTAAAATCATGAAATTAGATTAATATGGGCAAAATTTGAGCTAGCTCTTCAAATTAATAAATACTAGAAATATCGAGTTTCCAATGAAACTGAGGTGAATTAAGGACAGAAGTAACTTTATGTATGGAGTGCCCCATGGAACTCATTCCTCTCATACCATGGTGATATGATGGGAAGATATAAATGGGTTATAAAAATACTTAGCAGCAGTGGACAACAGCCCCACAATGGTTTACTATGGGTAATCAGAGATTTTTCTTGAATTTATATTCCTGTAAGTTTTTTTTAGAGATAAAATGCCAAGTAGAATACAGAAATGTGCTTCATCTATAGACTGATGAAATTATATAGAGTGTATGATTTTCTTATTCTTACTCTATGTATGTCCATGTGTGCTAAGTTGCTTCAGTCGTGTCAGACTCTCTGTGACCCCATGGACTATAGCCCAAACAGGCTCCTCTGTCCATGGGATTTTCCAGGCAAGAATACTGGAGTAGGTTGCCATGCCCTCCTTCAGAGATCTTCCCTACTCAGGGATCAAACCACATCTCTTATGTCTCCTGCATTGGCAGGTGGGTTCTTTACCAATAGCGCCACCTGGGAAGTCCATTTTACTCTATGTAGGGAAAGAACGAATTAACGAGATGCTGCCAGTCAGGCTGTCTTGCCCCACACTCTCACGCCCTCAAGCCCCATGTTCTGTGAACAGTGACCTTGCAGGGTTGTGTAACGGCTGAGATCACATAGCACTACACATGCACCTCACAAGGTACTCACTCGGCCACGGGCTCCTTTGTGTGGTATGCCTGTTATGAACTTCACCATGAAAGCCCTGGCTGCTGCTGCATCAGGGCTACATTGGAGCGACCCATGGTTATGTTCTATGAGGCTATGTTATGGCTACGCTATGGTTATGTTATGGCTGCTGCTATGGCTGCCTCTCTCCTGCCTGCTTCATCAGCCAGGAGAGAGGTTGTGTTACGGCTGCCGTGCCAGCCAGGAGGAAACAAATGTGTCTGCAGTTCCTACTGTTCCTTGAGTCTTCATCCAGCCTCTGATTTCCTGCATTGCCTACCCTGGGTTCAGCAAACAGTATGAACCACAAGACAACTGGCGTCACAAATAGGATCAGCAACACCTAGGAATATTTTATCCCTATCATATATGAATTTCTACCTTTGAATAACTGATATTTATAGTAACTCAACCATTTCAATCTGGTGGCTTGGATGGTAAAGAGTCTGTCTGCAATGCAGGAGACATGGGTTTGATCCCTGAGTTGGGAAGACCCCCTGGAGAAGGGAATGGCAACCCACTCCAGTATTCTTGCCTGGAGAATCCCCTGGACAGAGGAGCCTGGAGGAGCCTACAGTTCTTGGAGTTGCAAAGAGTTGTACACAACTGAGCAACTAACAGTAACTAACCAGTTTGAATTTATAACCAAAAGTGGAAAGAAAGTTCATTAGTTTTCAAAAATTGTATTCTTACTATTTAAAAAACTAATTGTAAGCTAAAGATGATGTTTCTTTTAACATAACACATTTTATGTTTTCTCTAGGCTGGAATGATAAAAAGTGATAATGATGAGTATTTCATTGAACCCTTGGAAAGAGGTAAGCAGATGGAGGAAGAAAAAGGAAGGATTCATGTTGTCTACAAGAGATCAGCAGTAGAACGGGCTCCCATAGACATGTCCCAAGACTTCCACTACAGAGGTAGGCATCTTTGACAAGCCTCAATGGTTAACTGTGATTCTAAGATATGATGAAAACAACTCTCCCATCATTTAAGAGAATGTGATAGTCATGTGCCTTTGTATAATGTGGAAGAAGCAAAAGAAGCTTATATTTATAAATTATGAAATATGGCTTGCCATTTTTTAAATGCATAAGAGAAATACATATTACATGTATTACTTTATTTCAAGGCATCATTCTCCCAATTTGCTATGTTTTACTTCTTTTAAATTTTCACATTAAAAATGATCTTTTCTCTAGCCTGGCTTAAAATGTCAAAGTGTGACTTTCAGGATAATCTAAGTTATGCATTATTAATATTATTTTAAAACTTTTAAAATGAGATATATTGACACAGCAAAGAATTGTATTTTGTTTGAAGTCCAGCATGATAGATAACATTTGAAAATAAGAATGCTATTTGATTTCACCTATTTTGCAAAACTTTTTACAATGTAAAAGTGACAATTAGTTGAATGATTCTGTCAAATTTTATGTTAAGGTATGCTAGACCACTAAAGTCAAGTGAATTATTTATTGCCTGTTGAGGTTTTCTGTTTATTTTTTTTTAATGAGATTGAAAAGTAACTTGGTATTAAAGAGATGTTTTTATAAGTTTGGTATTGAAATTCCCTTTATGGAAAATAAAGGAATAATGAGAGTCTGTTTTTTAACCAAATCTCTAAAAGCCTATACAATTGACCCTTGGACAGCACTGGGGCTGGAGTATCAATCCTCCTGCCCTTGAAAGCCCACATATGATTTATAGCCTCATCCCCTACATGTGGGTCCTCTGTATCTGAGGTTTCCCCATCCTCAGATTCAACCAACTCTGGATTCAACCAGCTAGGAATCAGAGGATCATGCAATACGGTAGTATTTACTGTAGAAAGAAATCCACTTAGAAGTGGACCCAGGCAGTTCAAACCCCTGTTGTTCAAGGGTCAACTGTATTTTCTTTTGTAAGGCCAGCTTTCTAAATTAAAGGCAATGGAGATTTCCCCCAGGGAAATTTACAGGGATACAGATAATCTTAATTTAGCAGCCATCTGTCTTCTAGATTAATGATGTGTTCTGAGAGCTGTTGCCTAGTTATTAGTCTGAGGTTCAGATGCCACCATCTCCCTTTTATATGTGGTATTAATTGAAATAGTACCATTTAAAATGCACTTAAAATTAACATGGTCTGAAAATTTTTTGAGAGATTTCTGAATTGAAACAATAGGTCTGTATTAACAAATGTAGTGCTATGAAATGTGTGTCTATCCCAGGGGGTCACTGTGGTATAATAGGAAGGAAATACCCTCTGCAGCTAGAGAGACATAATAATGATAATAATGTCAGTAATAATAATAATGTGAGTAATAGCTCTACAACATAAGTTGTTAGATTAGTAGTTAACATTTTGGAGCCTCAGTTTCTTTATCTGTGAATAGAGATCAGAAATATATATCACACAGTTGTAATAAGTATTAGAAATAATTCACACAGATTGCTGAGTGTAACCCTCAGCAATAATAGGTCCTGAATCAATGTTAGCTGTGGTAATTATTATTAATTATTGATATTAATTATTTTGTGCAAAAATTTACATGATAGGAGTTTTATTAAAGTTGAATAGTTAGACATTGCTTTCTCATGTGTTGTGAATGCATTATCATTAATTCTCATTTATAAGTATCTTCATGCTTTAGAAATGTTAATCTAAATCAAAAGATGGTTATATCAAAGGATAGATAGTAGGATACAGTGCTTTTTCTATAATCCTGATTGTTGTATGTTAAAAGTATCTAATATCTTTTTTGAAGCAACAAACATCTTTGAGAAAAGCATAGCCCCACAGACTATAGAATGGTTTTGGAAGACTGGAAACCAGATTAGTCTCTATGACTGTCCTCCTCTGCTCCATCTATCCTACTGTAGTTTCACCAAACTGTACCCTGTTCCTCCACTGCAGTCTCTGAAGATACCTATTTCTATAAATAGCAGCCTCTGCTGCTTTTCAATAGTCTGATATCTACAGGGGAAGAGAGATCGTTTTTTTCTTGAAATAATAAAATTGTAAGAAATATTACATTTAATACCTATTGTATTTTTAGATGTTAAATGAGACAAAATAATTTAGGTGTCAAGGTATATACATTTAAAAGAATTGGATATAATTAATTTGGGACATTATTTTAGGAGACCATTAAAAATGTAAATTCCAGTAGCATCAGTATCAGTATACTCAAATTATATGAGGAAGTTTTAAGAAGACAGACTCTGAAAACAGTTTTCCAATTGCGAAGAGAGGATTACTTTATAGTAAAAAGTAGGCCACAACCTGGGGTAATATATTTTGGAAAGGTTTTCAACAGTCATGGGTCAAAGCAAAGGGTTCCTGTGTTAACTCTCAGTTACCTTAAAACTGGAACCAAAATAAAGCCATTCAGTTCTCTTAGAATATTCTAAGAATATTCCATGATAAACCTTAGTAAGAACTTCACAATTTTTATTTTCTTATTTATGCAGTTCCGATTGAACTGAGTTGCTGGTGCTATCAATTTACCTCCTTTGGAGAGTCTTAAATTGTAATGATATATTTTAAAAGTGTAAATATCTTCCTAGGGTAAATAGAGATTCAAATTTAGAACCTGAAATACCATACTATAATATTTAAATTATCCTTTTAATTTCTTGGTTTCAGGACTGAGAGCCAAGATTTTTCATGGACTAAATACTTTCCAAGTGAAAATTAAGAATATCTTTTTATAATTCATTCCATCATTCTGAAATGTAAAATTAAACAGGTTCTAGAATTAAAGGTATATTGGTTTATAAATGAAAACTATAATACAATATAAAATAGTAATTTTGGGGGTCAGTATAGGATGTTATTTTAGGAGCTACAAGGTGTATCTTGCCACCTTGTATCTTCAATGAGTTATAGGAAGAGGAATAAAATACATGAGGTGAGTCTTCCTCAGAAAGAAATGTATTTGAGGGACATGGTCTTCATAAATTTCTCTAATAGGTTAATATAAACACTCATCAGGAGGAGTTTTGATCATAACCAAGGCACATCTATCCCTTCATCAGTGGGGCCCTTGTAAATAAATACTCTGCTGTTACTTTGCTAGTCATCACACATTGCCTGGCCACATTTCTTGCTTTGTCAGTTTAGCAGTTCAGAACTGCCATTCATTTGAGGTCTGTAGTTTGTTGCAAGTGTTCTAAGTTAAAACCAATTATGACATGAACTAGGTGAGTAGTAGTGAGTTGGAGAGAAGGAGCTGAACTGGGTTGAGATTGAAGTAAAATATATGGGGTTATTTGATAGAGTAGTTGTTGGGGTAAAGAGAGAGGAAGAGTGATCATGGATGACTCAGAATCCTAATTTGAAAGACTAGAGAATTCTTTTTCCAGAATTCAGGTATTTCAAATAAGAAGTAGGAGTAGACTTGATGAAGAATGGCAAATGAGAATAATTTTGGATATATTAACTTTGAAGATCCATTGGGATAGTAAGTGCTCTAAAAAAATGCATAGTATATTTTCAAAATCATGTCCCAAAGTCAATGCATGACTGTTGTTACGTACCTGTTGCAGTAGGTTGGGTAGAAGTGATCTTGGGAGTCAGGTAGCAGATATTGGCTCACGGTTGCTTAGAGTGTCTCTGCTTGCCTTTTACTCTTTCATTCCTAACTCCATATCAGGGTGAATCAGAAAATGAACATCGCACAACTTTGGGAACCCATGAAAGATCTTTGCTACTTATCACTATAGGAAAGAAGGTTATGTCCTTAAAAACAAAACAAAAAAAGAAAGAGAAATATGGTTCTACCATACTCAAGACCCCTAAGGTATTCCACTTGACTGAAAGCAAACATCTATTTTGATTCCTTATCTTTAAAAATATTTACCTAGGTTTCCATTAAAAGTCACAGCTTTGAACCTGTTGAGATGATAGATTATATAGTACAATTCAACAACAACATCAGCAAATCCTCATTCCCATATATTGCACAGATTTTCTTTCCTTGACCTTTAAAGAGGTTATATTGTTTTTGAAATGTGGAAAAATATAAGTATCTGTTTAAAAATATACTGAACTTGAATTTATAAAGTCACAAATACAGTGCTCTGTTCTAGAATTATTCTTTTGAGGATAAGACCTAAAACAGTTTTGTATTTGGCAATATAAATAATATCTTCCAGTACAGAACTGGCAGGTGTTCACAACACATACCACACCCAGGTTCTGGCAAAGAATACCATTCTTTTTATTAAACGACAAATATAAACTTGGCGTGCTTATGATAAAGAAACTTGTCTACTTCATCATGGGGGAAGAGTTGAATTTACTTCTTTTTCTGATTTCTGCTTTGGGAGTATGGAAATTACATCCATTTTTGGCCTCTTTAGTTTGGACAAAATTGTTTTATATATTACTGATTTGAATTTTTCTTGGGAAAAACATGGCTAATAAACTATTAAAGGGTCATAAAATTCACCATCACTGTTTAAATTAGTCATCAACCTAAACTCAGATAAAAAGGAAAATACATGTCTGATCATCTCTTAAGAATGTCTACATTGTCATCAATAAGTAGTTTGTTTTAGGCAGTCTATTTTTCTGGGGCGTGGGGTAGACTGTACTTGTATGACATCATTCAGCTTCTCATAATTTTTTTCTTAATCTCTAGGCCCTTAGGCTTCTCCCCTCAAATTACAAACTATTCATTCACCAGAAGCTTTGTGTTAAAGTAATTTTTGTAATTACTTCCTACCAGTGGGAAACAAGGAATAGTAAGCCTTTATCTCCTAGCTTCCTTTCAGGATTTTCATTTTCCTGCATGAACCCAAGTGCTTGCGTTGCTGGTGTGGTTGTCATGGTGCTGTGAAGGAGTGTCTTTGTCCCAGGTGGGAAACATGCGCAAGTCAGAAATGATTTGGGAGTTGCTCCTGGTTGCCAGGGAATGGAACTATGAAACAAG